TATTATATATATTATATATATTATATATATTATATATATTATATATATTATATATTAGTAAATATAATATATAATAAATATGCAAATATGTGGAGTTAAAGATAGAGAGATAAAGAGACAAAGGTTAAGATATAAAGATATAAAGATATAAAGATATAAAGATATAAACAGAAAAAGATATACAGATATAAACAGAAAAAGATATAAAGATATAAACAGAAAAAGATATACAGATATACAGATATAAAGATATACAGATAAAGAGACAAAGCCAAGCAGCAACAGCAACAGCAAAACTAACACCACCATACACACTAACATCACCTACAGCAGCAACAGCAGCACCTACAGCAGCAGCACCTACAGCAGCAACAGCAGCAGCACCTACAGCAGCAACAGCAGCAGCACCTACAGCAGCAACAGCAGCAGCTACAGCAGCAGCAGCTACAGCAGCAGCAGGTACAGCAGCAGCACCTACAGCAGCAGCAGGTACATCAGCAGCTACAGCACCTCTAGCAGCAGCATAATAATAAAGATAAATAGGAAATAGAAGTGAAGCCTCACGCTGAAGAAGACAAGACAACGTTAATCCGGCCTTCTAAAGGCCTCGCATGCAGCGGCATCGACTCCCAAGTCCTCCGCCCCATAATCACTGCATTTCTCTGCACCCTCCCACCACACCCACCCAATACCCCTGAACTACGCTCACAAGGGGCCCCCTGGGGGGCCCCTGAAGTGTCTATAGGGCCCCCAAGGGGGGCCCCCTTGGGGCCCCCTGAAGTGTTTGTAGGGCCCCTAAGGTGGGCCCCCTGGGGGCCCCCTGAAGTGTCTATAGGGCCCCCTATAGGGCCCTTCAGAGAGGGGCATCCTGGGGTGTCTATGGGGGCCCCTTGAGGGGCCCCCTTAGAGGCCTCTTGAGGGGCCCCTTGGGGGGCCCCTTGAGATTGAGATGTGAATTGGGTAAGATGTTTGAAGTGGCGGAAGTCGCGAGGAAGAGGAGGCCAAGGAAGTTTGTTTTGATAGCCGATGCCTCTTTGGGGTGTCATTGCAACTACAATGGAGATAGGGTAAGAAAGATGTAACGAAGAAAGCATATCTTTATCTTTTAATAGTGCTGCAGGGTCGTAGGTTGCTGAAGAAGATGCAGTAGACGCAGCACCAGAGCCCCCATTCTGCTCTCTTCCTGCTGCTGCTGCTGATGCTGCTGCTGCTGCTGTTGTTGCTGCAGCGGAAGCAGTCTTCTCTGATTCACCACCCGATTTCAGAGTTGCTGGTGGTGCTGGTGTTGTTGCTGCTGCTGCTGCTGCTGTTGTTGCTGCTGCTGCTGGTGTGGTTGCAGAGTGTAATGATGTTGAGGGTTGTTGGGGTGTATGCGCAGCTCCATCCATCTTCATTTGCTGCTTTGCTGCCTCTGAAGGAGCAGCAGAAGTTGAGGTAAGACGAGTGGGGGGAGGCGGCATAGGGTAGAAGTGAACGGAGAAGATAATTTAATTTAAAGATTTTATGCATTTAATTATTAAATATTAATCAAATAAATAATTAATTCAGCTTTTCTTCGCCTTTTTCTTCATCTATTATACCCCCAAGTATACCTAGGGGGCTCAGCCTGGGGCTGAGGTGTATGTACACCCCAACCACCAACCACCTTCTTTTTGTTTCTCTTAATAATAACAATAAATAATAAACAACGAATAATTTATCATTTTGTTATTATTTTTGTTTTCATTTTTAATTTATTATTTCTAATTTTCTTTGTCTTGCTCAAATAGGCCCTATTTAAAGTCAAATTTTATTAAAACTGTGTCTCTGCTGTCTTTCTTTAAAAAGATATACTTACAAATAAATAAATATATATATATATATATATAGTTATACATCTTTCTATATATAAGTACAACAATATTTATTATATAGATTTCGTATATATATTAATATATAATAGAGACGCCAGTCTATTCATACTACCCACTTCCTTGAACTTTATTTAGGGTTTAGAAAGTAGCAGGTGTTTATATCAACAGTTTGATGCAGCAGCAGATATGCAGTGTACGCGCACTGGTATAAATAAATAAATATATATATATATTTAATATTATATTTATAACATTGAACAACAGCATATGCTGCGTCTTTGTATGAAGACAATCATCTGTTCAGTGCTATATTTGGGGTTTGACGGAGAAGAAGATTTGCTTCTTTCTGCTTTTTGTTGTTTTTACTTTGCTTAAGGAAGAAGCAATAAAATGCAGCAGCAAAAAGTAGCGTAGCTGCAGCACGAGCAGCAGCAGTAGAGACAGCAGCAGCAAGAGCAGAAACAAAGTAGCAGCAGCAGTAGAGACAGCAGCAGCAGCAGCAGATGATGATGATGATGATGATGGTAGCAGCATTTGTTTGTTTGTATTTTTTTCTGACTTTTTCTAAACATAATTTTGTCTGAATTATAATACAGTGCAGCAGAGCGGTGGTTTGTTTTTATTTTTTTTGTTATTAGAGCTGCATTCATACAAATATGAATAAATGCTTTGATATATGTATATATGTATAAATACAATATATATATGTACTTTAGAGTTATATATATATATATATATATATATATACTAGTGCTTTATATATGCATGAGCAGACCATT